CCCCCCAAAGGGGTCGCGACCCACAGGTTGAGAACCGCTGCCCTAGTCCCTTCACAGCTCTGATCTTGTGTAAGCGGAGTTGCCCTGGGGGATGGCCTGTGATACTTTTCATCTTACAAGAGATGCAAGGAGAGATAAGTCAGCCAAGAGAGAGATTTACTGTCACTAAGAAAGGAAAGCAAGGAGTGCAGCATGTCCTTAGAATCCAAGTCCCTGAGCTGGGAACCTCCTAGAGCCAAAGAAAGAATGACGCCAACACACATGGAGCTCTATCTCCAAGGAACACCAGGCCTGCCGATGCTGAAAGAAGAGACAAGGGCCTCCGTCCTATGCCGCCAGCCGACACAGAGAGAATGAGCTGGCACTATGTATTTGAACTGCGGGCTTCCTGAACCATGGGAGAATCAATTTGTTTCTTAAAGCCATCACCTGCTTGTATTTCTGTCTTACCTAGATAATGCAAACAGTGACCGTGACTCTAGCCACCGCTAACGGCAAAGACATGGCAGGTTTTTGCCAACTTCTAATCTGAAGTTGATCACAGGTGCAATCAAGATGCATTGATAATGACTAGTGATTGGAATGTGAAAGTTGGAGACAAAGAAAGATTGGCAGTTGGGAAATAAGGTCTTGGTGATAGAAATGACATCAAAGATTACATAGTGGAATTAAGCAAGACCATTGCAAATACTTTCTTCAATAACATCAGTGGCGACTATCCACATGGACCTTACCAAGTGGAAGGTACAGGAATCAAATCATCTGTGGAGACACTGGAGAAGTTCAATATTATCAGAATAAGGCCAGGGGCCGACTGCAAAACAGACTATCCAACATGGCCAACTTGACGCTGAAGAAAATGAAAAACAAGTTTAGGAAGAGCCAAAATATGACCTCGAGTATATCTTGCCTGGATTTGGGGACCATGTGAACTGAACATGAATGACTGAAGACCAGATAAGGTGTCATCAAGATAAGATGACATCAAGGACATCATAGATGAAAAAGCACAAAAGGTCATTTAAAAAGACAGAAAGGCCAAAATGAGTATTAGACAAGCCTCTCTCTCTAATGAAAAGAAATGAAGAAAACATTCCAGCCTCAAGTTGTAACACTGCAGAAGTCTACGGCAAAATATCGAGTACCGCAGGAAGCATCAATAGAAGATGGAAAGGACATACAGGTCACTATCCCCAAAAGAACTGATGCTCAACCATTTCAGGAGGTAGCATATGACCGAGAACCGACTGTACTGACAGGAGGTATCCAATCTACACTGAAGGTACTGGAGAAAGGAAAGGCTCTAGGAATTGACAGAATACCAACAGAAATGTCTCAACTAACTGATGCACAGTGAGAGGCCTTCCATGGTCGATACCAAGACATTTGGGAGGCAGCAACCTTGGC